CAATTTCAGAGCAAGTATTCAACACAACACTCAATCAAAGGTCAACCAAACAATATTACCAAGAAACCAACTCAGATAAGAGCAAAAGAAGAAACAATAACTATGTACCTCAAGTGAGGCGTTACAAAATCACTACACATGATTTGATTTTGTCAAGCCAAGTGAGTTAAAGGCCCGAGTGAGGAAGATATTGCCAGACATGATTTGATTGTGCGGGCCTGAGCGATGCATGGTATCGCTGGATCGAAGACTTAAGCGGTAACCGATTCCACCTAGCAGCTCTGTTTTAAAACCCGGACCTGACTGGCCGGTCTTATCGATTCGATCGAGAGCCGTCTTTTACTTCGGTCCGGGTTTACATAAAACCAGGAATGTCAATAAACCCGTTTTGGACCGATAATGGACCGACAGAACAGTACAAAACCGTCGAACCGACCGGCCCGGGGCTTAAAACGGTTCGTCTAATTCAAAAAAATTCATATTCCTAAACTAATTTCAGTACCGTTTCATTATCTTCCATGTTCATCTTCAATTGTAAAGAAGAAGTAAGGGGAGCGGAAGGGAAGAGAAGGAAGAAGAAAGAGAAGAGGAGACACAAGAAAGAGTAAGGAAGAAGATTAGAAGAAAGAAAAGACGAGATGAAGAGAAAGAGAAGGAAGAAGAAAGTAAAGAAAAATTACAATAGAGGAAGAAGAAAGAGACGAAGAAGAAAGAGAGAAAGAGAAGAAAGTGACGGGGAGTGATGGGGGAGAGAGAGAGAAAAAAGGAAATAGAAAGAAATTGATGGAGAGTGATGGCGTAATGGGGAGAGAGAGAAAAGTGAAAGATGGAAGTGATGGGGAGAGAAAAAAAATAATTAATAATAAAACTTTAGGGTGTATTTATTTTATTTTAAACTTGCAGAGGTTTATATGTAACTTTTAGGGATGTATTTGCTAGTTTTCAAACTTATAACAATTATAGAATTGTTTAAAGATGAGACTGTTATATGCTGGTCAGACGTAAAGGTGGAAAAGTAACCCGCCCGGCCCGGCCCGGCCCGGCCCGCGGCGGGTTACATGTTTTGGCGGGCTGGGCTCAACCCGCCCGCCAACAAAGGCGGGCCGGGTTAGGCCCGCCAATTAAGGGAAAGTTGCTGGCCCAGCCCTAACCCGCCGGGTTAGGCACGGTTCGGGCCGGGTTAGCCCGATTTTTTTTTTTTTTTTTTTTTTGTTTTTAATTTATCTTTTCAAATAAATAATTATAAATATAATTGTTTTTAGTTAACTTTTCAAATATCAATATTCAATTCATTCAATTTTTTTTTTTGTTAACATTTCAAATATTAATATTTTAATACAATAAAATTGTAATATAAGAAAAATTAGACTTATTCATTTATCAAAAAATAAAATAAGAAATTACAATAATTAGACTTATTCATTTATCAAAAACAGACAATCAGAAATTGCAAAACCTAATAAAAATTAAAATAAGAGCAAATTGATAACAAAAATATTAAGAGAATAAATGAATAATTGAGACTTGAGAGTTGAGAGAATAGAGAATATGAGAAAATGAGAGAATTTGAGTTGTGAGAAAAATATGAGAGTTTAGGTCCAATTTATAGAAAAAAATAGGGAAAGAAAATGACGAAAAAGACCCCTCCAACGGCTATAAAACGGCTAGATTTCAAGGATAAAAGTGTAATTGAAAAAAATAAAAAATATTAATAATTTTTTTTTTTTTGGGCCAACCCGCCAACCCGCGGGTTGGCCATGCCAACCCGCCGGGTTGCGGGCCTCTTCCAAAGAGGCCAAAATAGCAACCCGACGGGCCGCGGGTTACCATAGTGTAACCCGGCCCGCCCGGGGGTGGCTGGCGGGTTGGGCTCAACCCGGCCCGCCATGAAGGCGGGCCGGTTTGAGCCCTCTTTTTTACGGGCCGGGTTAGGGTTGGCCCGCCTAACCCGGCCCATATTTTCCACCTCTAGTCAGACGAAGCAGAAAGAGAGAAAGAGAAGAAAGAGGAAGAAGAAAGTGACGGGGAGTGATGGGGGAGAGAGAGAGAAAAAAGGAAAAAGAAAGAAATTGATGGAGAGTGATGGCGTGATGGGGAGAGAGAGAAAAGTGAAAGATGGAAGTGATGCGGAGAGAAAAAAATAATTAATAATAAAATTTGAGGGTGTATTTACTTTATTTTAAACTTGTAGGGGTTTATAGTAACTTTTAGGGATGTATTTCTTGGTTTTCAAACTTATAACAGTTATAAAATTGTTTAAAGATGGGACTATTACATACCGGTCAGACTGAGTGGTCCAATCGGTTGGACCGGTCAACCCGCAAACCAGCCTTTTGATCGGGTCAACGAACGGTCCGGTTTTTAAAACAATGCCTAACAGGATGGATCTAGTGATTCAACCCGCGATGTTAGATCTTTTGCCGGATTTGATGGATTTATCCTTGGATACTAGTTGGGTGAGAGTTTTCAATGATTAGTATCAAAATCTGTTTTTCAATTAAGAATCAAAAAACAGTTTTCCATTTTTAGAATTTAATTATAAAGTAGTATTCAGCTCAAAGTTTTTCAGTGGTAGTAAAATCTACAGCATTCAGTTTAAAGTTAAATTATCAACATAAAGTTTTCAGTATTTAAAGGTCAGATATCAGTGCATAGTTTTTCAGAAATCAGTTTTATGTTTCATATCATCAAAATGGTTATCAATAATTAATACTAGTTTTATGAGAGTAATTCAAACATTTGAAATATGATTTTAGTGATGTTGTTTTTAAATTCCACTATTGTTGTTTCTTCTCCAGAGTTTGCTGAACAAGTGATGAAAATCCATGACGTTACATTTGCATCAAGGCCTTACAATTTAGCAGCAACTATATTGTCTAATGATGATGTAGTTTTTTCACCGTATGGTGATTACTGGAAGAAACTAAGGAAAATTTGTACATTGCAGCTTTTGAGCTCGAAAAGAGTCCAATCGTCCCGATCTTTAAGAGAAGAAGAGATGTCTAATATCATCAATTGGATTGCTTCAAAAGCAGGATCAGTGGTTAACCTCACCGAGATAATTTTCTCATCAACGTATGGTATTACTTCAAGGGCAGCTTTTGGCAGAAACTGCAAAGACAGAATTGTTCATATCTGTTATGAAGGAAAGTTAAAAGTTGCTGACAGGTTTTAACATTGCGGATCTGTTTCCTTCAGTCAAATTTCAGACAATAACCGATTGGGCCATGTGTGAGATGCTCAGAAAACCAACACTCTGAAAAAGGCACAAGCTGAGGTGAGGGAAGTGTTTAATAGAAGAAGGAAAATTGATGAAACGGCCATTGAAGAAATGAAATTCTTGAAGCTAATTATAAAAGAGACTCTGAGATTACATCCTCCTCCTTTACTTCCAAGAGAGTTCAGAGAAATGTGAGATCAATGGATACATCATACCTGCCAAAACCAAAGTGATTGTTAACACATTGGCAATTAATAGAGATCCAAACTACTGGACTGACCTGGAGAGCTTTATTCCAGAGAGGTTCCTTGATATTGCACTTGTCAAAGTTAGAATGTGGGCTAGCGTATAATTTGCATTTCAAAGATTTGATATATATAATATGAAATGGCTGTGTATTTAATATCTAATCTCCTAGTATCGTGATTTGATACTAAGGCGTACAAAAATTGAGAGAATTAATATAATTCAATCCCTGACTAAAGACATAGTTTTGAGTTTGACTTCCATTAACTCCACAAACATACACATCTAATTAGTGGATATAGAGTTACTCTTTTGAAGAGGACAAGGTCTGTGAGCAATAAGGCAACTTGGTCATAATCATCCCTTGTAGAAAACATGAATTACATGATACAATATTTGGTTTGAGTATTTCCTTCTTCACATCTTTCCATGTGTTCGCAACATGTTCCAGAGCCACTTTAACCGCCTCTTCTTTAGAAACACCATGCTGCTTCATATAGCATTAAACAGCTGAGGCAAAGGCAATACCTCTCTAGATAGATCTAACGATACAGATTCATATTTTGGAAGTGATTTTTAGTCCCACCTAATTGTTCTTCACCACTACTTTTAAATTTATTTTTTGTTTTGACAAATTTAACATTATTTTTAATTACTAAAAATAATATTATAATTTCTAAATGCACTTATGTTCTACTTATATATATATATTAATTTTTAACATTTAACTTTTAATCTTAAAGAAACCCTAGCCCTAATTTTCATAATCATTTAAACCTTTTGTTTTATTTTAAATAATTGCTTATTTGATGAAAATATAATACTAAAAACAGAGAAAATATAACAGAATGAATCTGAATCTGAAGAAGAGAAAATAAGTTGAAATTAGGAAATTAGAGGAAAAAATATGTAAAGAAAAAACCTAATTAAGTTTGATATGGGAAAAAGGGTATAAAATAAAACACATAATTAAGTTTGAAATAGGGGAAAATAAACCTAATTAAGTTTACAAGGTTATTTTCCGTATTAAATGGCATTTAAAGAGATTTTTTATTTTTATTATTATTATAAAAGAGCTGTACTGAGTCATAGGGGTAAAAAACAATTTGATATGGACTTAAAATCACTTCCCTTCATATTTTTAACCCAGTTAGATATAGGCCCAAATTGAGAGTTCAGGTCCATTTTGTTTGACTAACATGAGCAAGTGAGCCAGGGCCCATACCAACCATAGCCTAAAGAATCAAGATTTTGAGTAAGTTCTTTTTGTTATCGTTTTTCATTGCAACAACTATTAAAAAGCATTTTAGACAACATATATTTTGACTTTTTATATTTTTAAAATTGTGTTGTATGTGTTTGTTATAGCTTTGCAAAGTTTAGCAATAGACTTGTAGAAAGGTGCCAATATGTATTCAAGGCATTTTAGACAACATATATTTATTTCAATGTTGGAAGAGTATAACTCAATCCCTGTCTAGACTCTAGAGACATATCATGGAGTACTACAAGTAATTTGTAGATATATATGAAGCTACTCTTGAAGAGGCAAAGGGTCCTTGAGCAATAAGAGAACTTGGTCTTTAAGCTTATATGCCTCTGTAAAGGCATCATAACCATCCTTGTAGAAAATATGAGCTACACGCGAATAATTAAGAACTCGTTCCAGTAAAGACATTGATATAGCAGTTGATTTTAACATTTCTTCATTCACATCTGTCCATGCATTGGTAACACCATGCCACTTCATGTAGCATTCAACAGCTGAGGGATTATGTCCTCTCTTTTGCTCAAACTACACAACATATGCATATATGTTCAAGATAATTTTTATTATTAGTTAGTTAAAATATATATATAAATAATATACATGTACATACCTTATGAGACCCTATATCACCCATGAGTCTGCCAATAAGCTTTGCTGCATTTATAATCTTAGGATTAGTGGAAATCCAATCAAAATCTTCCTTGGTTGCAATATCATCCATGCCAAGGAACGCAACTGATGTGATCAATTCGACTGCAGATGTTTCTGCTGCAAGACTTGTATATTCCTCAAATGTTGGAATGTACCCTTCATTCAACCATTTGGCTTCAGAAAAGTAGCCTTGAACAATTCTTTGCATCTAATCAGGAAGCATATTAATATAAATAATTAAATATTCCATACGAACTTGAAGACTCTGCTGAGAAAAAAATATTCGTGCAAGTAGTACTGTAAAGCAAAGGTAGATATCACCTACCCAAATATTCCTTTCTTAAGCACATATTCCTCCATTTCACAGAAAAAAACTAACAGTGTCTTGTAAATTAATTTCATGTAGTCTGGAAGCATATCTGTGGCGCCAAAGTCCCATCTGAAAATCAAATAACCATCTTCAATGAAAAATTAATGAAGCCTAAAACTGAAAACTGAAAATTGAATACAATTTCTAGATTTACTGTGAAATTTGAAAAGGATTTATTTTAAGCTTTTTACATACTTTTTGACAGCTTCTGTAAAGAGTGTGAGTTCTTCAATTGTACTATAGGAATCGTATGTATCGTCTATGAGGGTTAACAGACATATTAGTTTGGCCGTACTCCTAATACCAAATGCATATTGTGGCTCAAAAATAATTCCCAGTGACCAAAAATATTGCTCCACCATTCTGTGTCTCGCGTAAGACAGCTTTGAAATGAAGTCTACATTATTCCACCACCTGAAATACTTCTTCAACTATATAACCAAAACAATATACCTTAGTAATTATTAAAATATAATTCCATTATAGAAAGAGGAACTTACTGTAAGACGTCTTTGAGATCCTTCTGGTACATTGCTTGTAACATGTTAAAGTCTAACTTGGCAAACTTTAACAAAGTTTTATTGTGTAAACCATCTCTTAAATAAGCAGAAATGAAAAATCTTGCCTCTAGCCTTGGTAGGCCTTTCCGGAGAGGACAATTAAGAGCATGATTTATTTGTTTTGCAAGGGAAGGGCTCTCATAAGACCCCATTGACTTAAGTTGAGTGGTAGTAAAAGTGAGGGCTTCATCTAGAATATCTTCTCCATGAATAGCAAAGTGTGCTGCCTCGTATAGATTTAGCATTCCAGGAACATCGTTAATCAAGGATGCCTTGAATTTCCCTTCATCATCTTTGAACTTTTCAAATACATCTGCTTAAATTACAACCCAAAAAAAAAAAAAAAAAAAAAAAAGTAACCTTCAATTAAACATACTTATGTTTTATTTATTTTTAGTATAGCTTAAGATTTGAATTACTTACTACAAACAATCTTAATTCCTTGCTGCCGAAGAAGTCGAAAACGGACAGAAGTAGTGTAGAGATCATTATATTCATCACTGTCATTATAAATTTTCTCCAAAGCATCATCTATCACTTTTGCAAAATGATAATCTACACCTAAAAATCAAGTGTAATTTCTGAGCATGCGTTTCTGATTTATCCATTATCATCCATCTTACTTCTTGTTTCAGTTGCTCATAGTCTTCTTGAGTCGTAGGATCAATTGTCTGCAAAAATAGAATTAAAAAAAAAAAAAAAAAAAAAAAAAAGAAGCTAAATTCATTTATTATGAAATTAAAAATATTTAAGGATCGGTGCATCTACAAATTTAATCTCATCTAGAGTGTGTATGTATAATTACCTTGAGTTCAGAAGTATATTTGAGGAATTGTGGGCTCAATTAAAGTCACTCAACTTTTGGAAAAAAATAAAACAGTCCTCATATATTATGGAATTCACATTTTGACCCAACAAAAATTTGAATTTTTGCCTTTTCTCTCTTTTTTTCATTTCCTCTCATTCTCTCTTATACTTTCTTCTTCGTTTGATTGAATTACTTGAGAAATACTATTCCTTTGAAGGTTACAAGGTAAGATGCCCATATATATATATATATATATATATATATTGGAGATTTGTTTTAATTTTAATATATTGGTTAATTGCTTGATATTTAGAGTTAGATTTGAGTTTTCATTGGTTTATGAGTTGAATTTTATTGGGTTAGTAGAAATTTTTTTAAAAACCTAATTTATAAGATTTGGGGCTTTTTTATTTTTTTGCTTTCTTAATTGATGAAAAATCAAGAATAGGTTTTTATTGAGTTGTTAATTTATCAACTTAGATATTTTGAACCCATTTACTAAAAATCTTGGCTATGTCCTTGCCCGTGTGCATTGGGCAAACGAGCAAAGACCTTGAACTAACTAGCTTGCGTTAACGAACTATGACCTCAAACTGTAACCGCAATTGTTGAAGTGGTCCCCAACCCCAAAAAAAAGTGAAGAATTGTTTTTGATGAAATTCTTTTTGTTTCATAAATTCGTCTGCTTTGTTTGACTATAGAATTAATTAGGGTTTATAATTGAATAAGAAAATAAAAATTTTAGATTAATAGCACATGGGTTTATCAAAGGTGGAGTGCAGGTATAACTCTTTTATTTCTTTCTATAATTCATATATGGGATCAAATTGGCATTGAGAAAAATAGAAAAAACATTAGGATTTAAAGAGATAAAATATGAGGGGTAATATCGGCCATGTTTGACTTATTATTTTTATCCCTATTCCCAATCTTATTCTCCAAATAATGTTTGGCACATCATTCTAGAAATATTACCCTATTTTTTAATTACTTTTAGACCCCATAAGGTTATTAATTTCATCAAATATACCGTGAAAAAAAAGTTTAAAAATTATCAAAAATACCCCCGCAACCTATACTTGCCAGATTCCGGCAACCACCATCGGTGGTAGCCGGAATCTGTACAACGGCCTACTTGACGACCATAAATGTTCGGAATTTCACCGATCTGGCCGTGAACGACGTCCAAAGAAATGGCCGTCGTTGAGGTCAACGACGGCCAAAGAAATAGCCGTTGTTGAGGTCAACGACGGCCAAATCTTGGCCATCATTAACCGAAAACGACGGCCATATCTTTGGCCGTCGCTGACGGCCAAAGATGGCAATCGTTTTGGCCTTTTTTGGCCGTTGATGGCCATAGCAGGCCTGACGGCCAAAGATATGGCCGTTGTTTTGGCCTTTTTCGGCCGTCGACGGCCACAGCAGGCCTTAGATCTGACCTTTTCTGGTCCAATCCATGGTGGATATGGCCGAAAAAAGCCATAACGAAGCGTTACGACACAGATCCGACCGGTCTATGTCGTAACGCGATTTTCCGGCCAGATTCCGACTGTGGTGGCCGGAATCTGGCACTGCAGGTGGTGGGGGTATTTTTGTCATTTTACATATTGGGGTATTTATTAAATTAGCAAACTTAGGGAGTTTTTTTTATAAATTTTTAAATTTTACCTCGTAATACTCCCATATTTAATTATCCAATACTATCCTCAAAATCTTATCCAAAATAATAAACCAAACGCACCCCCATTACTCCAAAAAATACAAAGTATGAGTACAACGATAATATTTATTATTTAATGTCCATAGGGCGCGTCATCTAGTATGTCCACATGAATAGCAAAATATGTTGATTCATACAGAATTAGCATTCTTTAACATCATTAATCAAGAATGCCTGAACCTTTCTTCACCATTTTTAACTTTTCAATTAAATCTGCTTAATTACGATTAAAAAAAAAAAAAAAAAAAAAAACACTAAGGCAAGTTTTAATTAGACATATTTATATATATTTTTTTATTTTAATGCATATTAATTCTAGTAATTTAATTTAATTTATTTGCTTAAAAAGTAAATTTCGTAATTTAAGAAACTTGATAGAAAACTAAATTTATATTAATATTTAATACATGGAATCGTTCACCAAACAAGTTATTACATTCTGTTTAGTAATAGAGATTATATTATATTATTCAATACCATCCAATATTCTGGCATACAAACCAGTGGCGGATCCAGGATTTTTGCCTAGAGAGGGCCTCCCCAACTCTACCATTGATTGTCAAACAACTAGTGAAAACTTTAAAAAATCACTAAACCTTAAGTAAAAAAAATAATGCAATATCAAGAACCTGAGAGAAAAGAATATAATAACACAATACTTTCATACTTGAATAAACGTATGAGAAACAAAATTTTGATAAATATGTTGACTAAACCAATTTTTTTTTTTTAAAAAAAAAATTTTGGCTTTCAAAGATTATAATATAAATTTTCATGACTTAAATTAAGTCAACGTTGCGTTGACTTTTAATACGAATTAATAAAAAAAATGGGATTTTTCTTGATATAAACATAGATAGTAACTTAAATTTCTTTAATAATTTTGAGCAGCTGGATGGCGACGTTTGAAATGTAGGAAAGTGGTGGGTGAAAGGTGAAGAATAATATCCTTTAAAATATGGTTAAGGTTTTAATTTGGGAAAACATATTCATTTTTAAACATAAAACACAAAATAAACTCACAAGATCGATGTATATTTCCCTCAAATTAGAATAAAAAACCTCCAAAAAAAAAAAAAAAAAGAGCATAATTCAATCCCAAAAGAAACTAAATTGAAATGAGGGATACACATACCTAAAACTGATAAAATATAAAACGAAACTTATAGTGGCAACTTAAGTAGTGAAAGCTTCAACAATTTCAGTCTTCAAAAGTTTTAAGAGCAAATAGCATGAGACAAAGAATGAGAGAATGTGAGAGTAAATAATTTTGCAGATAAAATCATAAAAAGCATATGGAGCTGTGGAGAAAAAGAATGGATAAAGTTTTAAACTTTTAATATAACGTTGACTTAGAATATTATATATTAATAATAAATTTTTTGTGGACCTAAATATATATATAATAATTTTTATTTTTTTAAAATATAAGCGTAGCCTAAGTATATATATTAATAACAATTTTTTGTGAGTCAATATATTAATAATTTTTTTAAAATCTTGAGGCCTTATCCTCAAAAGGGATAGATCCGCCCTGATACAAACACTCCCTTGAATACTTATTCCATACATAAAGGTGTGTAGACAATTTATTTTAATAGTAATAGAACTGTCTTCAAAGTAATGGGTCTCTGAGCAATGAGGCAACTTGTTCTTTAATTTTAGTAGGATCACTGAAGGCATCAATATCACGATCATCCTTGTACACAAATTCCATTGTACGACAATAATTGAGAATCCGTTCAAGCAGAGGCATCGATACAGCAGTTGGTTTGAGCATGGCCTCATTCAAATCTTTCCAAGCGTCCGCAACTTGTTCCAGAATCACCCTAATTGCCTCGTCTTCCGAAACACCATACTGCTTCATGTAGCATTCAACAGCAGAGGGAACATGTCCTCTCTTTTGCCCAAACTAATTCATAATTCATGCATACTGTTAGATAATTAAGTTTTTACTAGAATATATAAAGTATTGCGGTAAAAAATTAATTACTCAGCATTTTTGTTTAGGAACAGGTAAAGCTCAGATCAGATCAGGAGAGGATCCTGATCTCATATTCATACCCTGTGTGACGCTTTGTCATCCAAGAGTCTGCCGATAAGATCTGCTGCTTTTATAACTTTGTGATTAGAGCACAACCAATCAAAATCCTCTTTAGTTGCACGCAAGCCAATGAAGGTAATCGATATTATCAATCGGCAGCTAGCAGTTTCCAGTGCAACACTCATATATTCCTCAAATGTCGGAACCTACCCTTTATTGAACCATACGGCTTCAGTATAATAGGCCTGTGCCACTCTTTGCGCCTATGGAGGATACATAACCCAAGAAAGGTTAAAGAAAGAATCTTAATATACGGTAACACTCTAATGATCATGTCAACAAGAATCTCTGGATGGATGCATATATATGTCCACAATCAATAGCGCCGACAAATAATGTTTTATACTGCAAGACAATTAATGCTGTTTTTGTTTCAAATTTAAGGGAATTTATTCATGTCATTTATAAAACCATGTGAAGGGCAAAGCTTGATATCACCTACCAACTTTTTTGGATAACTTATGCTGTATGGTCTTCCTTCCCCAGTCGTATCTTCCTCAATTACACCGAAAACATCAAAGAGCGTCTTGTAAATAAATTTCATGTAGTCTGGAAGTGTATCTATGGCGCCAATGTCCCATCTGAAGGTAAAATAACCATTCACATCTTTTATAAAATTGAAGCCAGAATTTTGAAAATTAAAATGATTATAAATATACAATTTCTTAATTTATAATGAAAACTCTAAGGGGGTCAATTTAAGCTGTATGCGATATATATCTGTAATTTACCTTCTAATTGCTTCTGTAAAGAGTGTGAGTTCTTCAAATGTACCATAGGAATCGTACGTATCATCTATGAGGATTTGCA